GAAGAGCTTTGATGAATATTAAACATTTAAATTGGTCTTCTGTCAACGAGCGTAACTCGAACCGTTCACATTCTCTGTCGACGATGTTTGCAAGGACCGCATATTCATCATCTTTGTGTTTCACCAGATTTAGACACTGATATTGAATACTAAACAAAGAAGATTATTCGCCGAAAATCTCTGACAGGTGAATTGCCGTCTCCTCGAAACTGAGCTCTCGAGGTAACTTTGGTAATATGTGGTCAGCGTAACGTGCATGTTCATTAATTCCCCTACACCAACAAGCAAGTCTTCCACGCATCGTCTTGTTTACCGAATCCAATTCTAAATGTATATTCCCAACGTTTGAACCACGTCAGAAAAGTATTTCCACATTCGGGATTATAGATGAATTCTGGTACGCTGTTAGCAACTGCTTCACAAGACGTATTTAAACTAACATGTGGACTGGAATACTGGATGTGGAGCTGTTGAGTCAGAGTCTCCAACAATCGCATCTATGCATCTAACTGTGCTTGCTGTTGTAGTATTCGGTTAAGCTAGTCATCTGAAATAGGCATCTTGAAATTCTTTCCTTTTTCCCCGTCGCCACTGTTGTAACGCTCTCTTAATAATTCCCAGCTAATTCCTATTGCTTAGTATTCTCTGACCGCAATACACTGGAAAAGTTCCAAAAATCAGAACGCGGTGGAACAGGAAAAGATTATATTCCAAATAGCAAGGTTAAATGGAAAGAAGAAGGCAAAGGCGAAATAGATACAACGTTAATGTCCTTACATGTTGTAATGCTTCGCTTATATGATTCCCAGCTAATTCCTATTGCTTAGTATTCTCTGACCACAATACACTGGACAAGTTCCCAAGAATCAAAAACACGGATGAATAGAAACAGATTATATTCCAAATAACAAGGTTAAATGGAAATAAGGAGCCAAACGTGATGGCGAAGGCAAAAATAGATACAACGTTAGTTTATTTAGAGCATTTACATGAGAAGCTTCTGGATAGAAATCCACGTGATCGACTGGATTAGATATAGCCAATCAGCACGCAGCTAGCAATACGAGAATCTTCTACCCTGTTCTCCAAGAATCGATCAGGCGCTGATTGGATAGGAAATTAGCCAATCAGCGCTCAGCTGACGCAGTCATGCTTCAATTCCATCTATGTCCCACTAACATTACAGTTTTTGCATGAGAAACTTCTGGAATGTAATTCACGTGATTGACTAGCCCTGACCGGATTAGCTTTAGCCAATCAGCATGCAGCTAACAACACGAGAATTTTCTACCCTGTTCTCCAAGCATGGGCCAGGCGCTGATTGGTTAGGAAATGAGCCAATCAGCGCTCAGCAAACGCAGTCACGCTTTGATTCATCTATGTCCCACTGACACCTATGATCAAAACCAGTAACCTACGGATATCCTCTACTTTGACTGGCCATGTTTCACATCCTTAAAGTAGGACGGAGCAAACTACTTCGCAGTACACTCGTCCTTTAGTTAGCAAACGGATATCTCGCCTGCCCCACAAGTGACGCAAGTTGGCAAAAGCCAATCGAGCCTTCTGCATCCGTGCTGAGATTTCGTCAGTCATTATGCTCTTATTAAAGATTCCCATTATGAAAATTAGAACAACACATATGCTAACAATATTGTTTTCGATTAGATCGTCATCTAATATACATGAATATTTATATGAAAATGTTAAACCAATCAAGTCAATCTAAAATGAGTCGATGATCACAATTAAATGAAATAGATTACGTCACTACACATTATAGGCTAAAGTACAAGTTGATAGTAGCAAGAAGAATAAACAAAAATTGGACAGAATCGGAAGTCCAGGACAGAGTAGGGTGGAGAACACTGGTCGGTGGTGACAGGCGTAAGTAAAGTAAGTAAGTAAAACTGGTACACTGATAGTAGTAAGAAAAATAAAAGAAAATACGATAACAAAAGTTCTATCCATAGTTCAACATTGTAAATGGTAGGTCAGACGTGGGTAAATAGATTCAAAATAATCATTCCAAGACATTAAAACCGTTACGTAAAAGAAGTGTGTACATAATTAGATAGTGAAGAATATAAACGGGAAGAGGCAGAAAATTACAAACAGATACATGATATGATAATAATGCTAATAATAACAAAATAAAACTGAAGGATATTTTTCAAACGTTGGTTAAGTCATATCCGGCCACGGACGAGATAGGGGTGTCACCAATTTCTTCAGAACACATAAATTGGGGTTGAATATACGAATTCCTATGGCTTCTGCTATGTGTAGGAGACGGGATCGAACTCCGTTGGGAAATGATGAAAGTATACGTTAGATCACTCGAAACGATGCAGATTTATTTACACTATGACCACTATCAACCAGTTGTGTCAAGATAGAACGTATATAACATAATGGTGTACCACAAAATTTGGTTCATCATTATGTGTAGGGTTTTTCTATATTGTTCAGATGGTCGATGCAAAGCAGATTGTTTTGAGGTGTGTACTGTAGATCTAACTTATAAGATAATAAAGAAACGCTTTGAAAGTCTTCATGGTAGCCGATTAGCGTAGTGAAAATGTTAGTTTCATTTTAATGTTTACTTACAATTGGCACCAATGTTTATCGTAATTAACAAACTGGTATTCTGATACTAAACCATGAATAACATTAAACTTAGGAATGATTTCACTTCGTTTTCATACATTACAACTATCAGATTTATTCAATTACTACTATGCAGGCATTTTCTGCTATAGAACAAGAACTTTATTGTGAAAACACTTGTCTCGGCACTTTTTCTTCCTACTAGGTTCACCAAATACTTACCAGTAATTGAGTACCCACGTACTGGTGGAATTTTGGCGGATGAAATGGGACTTGGTAAAACTTTGGAAGTTATCTCCCTTATTCTCACTCACCCGTTGAATGACTGGGAGAAAATAGGTGGTCAGTTACGAACTCTGGAGGACAAACCACTTTCTATGAAACGCTTACCTGCTGTTCAAGACGATTCTAACGTCATTTTTGAGAAACACTGTGACAGTCACATACTTTGCACCTGCGGTGGTGTCAAGGAAACTGAGAATTTCGACGTAGTTCATTGTTCTCTCTGTGACGGTCCAAGTCAACATGCAATATGTGTCCAATATAACCCCTCAATATACGCCAGTCGCCTTCCAGTTAAAGAAGGGTATATATGTCCACAGTGCTGGACCAAGGTAAATTTTCTGTTGTTAATTATTGATTAGTTTGGATAGGTAATTGTGCTCTTTTTTTCGTTAATCTGGTCTTACGGATTCGTCAATAACCAAAATCTTATCTTGTTTCAGTCATGTTTTCCATCACTTAATACCGTAGACTGCTATCAAATGAGTAGTTCAAGGGCCATTTAGTTTTGGACTGTAATGAGATGTATAAAAGCTTATCGTAGGTATAAGTTATAAAGAAACTGTACACTAACGAGTACATTTTTATTTGATTTATCAGAGGTGTTACAGTTTAAATTGATTTAAGTTGTATATCTCATGTGTTTGTAAGAGCGTTTTAGGAATAATTGTTTCCATTTAGCTTTTGTAGAAATTACTAGTACCAAGCCTTACTGAATGTCAGATCGGCGATTTGTCAGACTGATTAGAATTATCATTACTACTGTTTCTGCTCTGGAAAACTCGAATTTCATATTAAGATACTGGAATATACGTTTGTATGTCATAGTTTTATAGACTGAAGATTAAGCAGTTCTAGGTTCAGTTTGCGTTTGTATAAATGGCTGGCTTGTTTAAGTTCAGTTCTTTCTACAGTCTTGATTAAAACTCTTATTACAAACAATCTTCCACCAACTTCATGTTTACTAATTAAATCATGACCAGCCAGAATTTTAAGTCCCAGTTATGACAGGAGAAATAACGAATTATGAACTAATTCAAACGGCCATATGCTTGAAATGAAGTTAAGATGGATTCTTTTTATTGTATTTGAAGTGTCTGGAAGAATGTAGTCTGTCTTTGCTTTAAATTAGTTAGTTGTCCTAAATGTTACATTTATTATTGGCTTGGTACTAGTCGTATTTATCGGAGTCATTCTTCATTCTATTAATTATTTAGACGCGTATCTATTCCAAAGCTACGCTTATTATCTCACCTGATCACATATGGCAACAGTGGAAAGAAGAATTGCAAACTCATATACTACCTGATGCATTACACGTTTTGGTACGTCTATAAATCTATATACATTAAGTTGAGGTTTTTGTAATTGCACATCTTAAAATCGTTCAGTATTTCATGATAATAATGTTTTGATTACCGTCTATATTTTAGTTTCGCATGTTGATTATTCCTATAAGGTATAATATATTTAATGACTGATAGAAAATCTTGTGTTCAGGAAATGTTAACTGGCTATCTTTTAAAAATAACCTTCCAACCTGTTAAAGTTCATCCCCATATACTGGACTACACAGTGGCTTTTTCATCATATTACAACATCAGCAATTTGAATTATATATATATATATATATATATATATATAATTGTAATATACAATAGGGAGTGAAATAGTTGAGCGTATTGACCGCCTCACTTATCTCGGGAGTTTCATCAGCGCTGATGGCCAGGTGACAGACGAAATCTCAACAAGCATACAGAAGGATCGGTTGGCTCTTGCCAACTTACGTCATTTATGGCGTAGGCGATACATCCGTTTGCTAACCAAATGTCGAGTGTACTGTGCAGCAGTTCGCTCCGTTTTCCTATTATATGGATGCCAAACATGGCCAGTCAAAGTAGAGGACATTCGTAGGTTACTGGTTTTGGATCATTGATGTCTCCGAAGCATTGCTCGTGTATCGTGGGACAACCGTATAAGCAATGCTGTTGTTAGGAAACGAGTACTATGTAAGGATAGTAGATCAATAGATGAAGTATTGAAACTTTATCAGTTGAGGTGGTTGGGACATGTGCTGCGTATGCCTAGCCACCGACTGCCTCAACGAGCTACGTTTTGTGGTGTAGGAGTAGGTTGGAAGAAAGCTAGGGTCGGCCAAACCAAAACACGGCACAAATCCATGAAGTCACTGACAAGTGGACTGAGTCATGTTAGTAGATGTAGGCTACCTGGTTGGGGTCCACGAGACGAAACTCACCGATGGTTAGAGACCTTGAATGACATGGCTCAAAATCGTTTGTAATGGCTCAGGTGCATCCGCTTTTTGTGTTCTCTCAAATCCCTAACTTTTTAATTCCTCATCACTTTATCGTTTTATATTTAAGTTTATTTTACTAGATTGTACTTATTGAATAATATCTTCTAACCCTAATCTCTCCGATTACTGCTAATACCTTTACTACGTCTACTACTATTGGATTTGAATTGACAATTGCGTCTCTGTGCTGATGTGGTATGGCAACATGAACTGATGTACTTACGTACGAAGTTCTACGTTGCTATTGATTGATCTGATTGATTGATTGGTTTACCATTAGCACCACATTTCCAACATTTAGCCGCCTATATAAAACAGTTCAGCTCTCGCAGATTCATAAAAATCAACACTTTTCAAACAATATTTCTAGGTAAACTTCATACTTTATGGGTAAAATATCGTCTGAATTCACCTGTTTGAATGCAGTTATATGATCAACGGTATCGGAGTACTTTTGCAAGATGCGTTTACTTAACCATTCTTATCCTTTCTAAAGTTACTCTCTTCCCATATGATTTATCGGTCCCTAACTAACATGAGTTAGTATTAAAAATTATATTACATCATATTTTGTATGTGTATAAAGTTTATTTTTGTGTTTTCATTATCGGGATTATAGATTTATGCTGGTATGGAAGCTCCTGTAACATCTGTTGAGTTTGGAATTCGCGGCTCTGTCAAAGAACAAGGAAATATTAATCCTTTTGCTCCTCGTACTCATGTTTCTACAAAAGTTGTTTCGGAAAGCAAAGTTAGTGAAGAGACAATCCTTCCTGGTTTCGTTCAACCGCCCCAATTAGCTTGTGCTGATATTGTACTGACTTCATATTCTGTGGTCCAGCATGAACTTGACTGGGCAGAGGTTGTTGCAAATCGTCAAGCTGGCCTTGCAGACAGACCAAAGTTACGATTGGCTCAACGTTACATTTGTCGTCCTAGCCCACTAACTTGTGTCAGATGGTGGCGGGTATATTTATGTCTATACATTTTCATGTTATTATGAATAATGATTTCAGCTCGTTTGTTTATCTCTTTTTATTCCCTTAGAACCTGCACAATTTTTATTTTCAACAAAATTAGTGGTTTTCATATTTTTCTCAAACTAAAATTTGGTGCTTTTTAGTTTAGCACATATACCACTGGAAACTTCGTAGGATAGGTACTCATTAAATAAACACGTCTAATTTCACGCTTCAAGAACTGTGATATTTTACTTTTTGAAAATGGTTTCTATGTTTTAAGTTGGATGTGCAAACGCAAAGTGTCAACTGATTTGTTAAGTATTCTCTCCACTTGATCAGTTCTTTTTCCGAAATGCCTACAACACTCAGCATCCAGTTGCTTCGGCTGTCAATATGATCAACAGTGTTACCTAACTTACGATATGAATGCGGTCATTAATATTTTATTTTGTCATTACAAACCTACTCAACATCAACCTCAATTTTATAGTATACGAAATCAAGTAAATTATATAAATCTCGATTTGGTTCTTACTAATCATCATTTCCGTTTCACATTTCTAATGTACTGCATGCTGCAGGTTTGTCTAGATGAAGCACAAATGGTAGAGCGTGTTACATCTAGAACTGCTCGTATGTTATCACAAGTAACTGCTGTTAATAGATGGTGTGTTACTGGTACACCAGCTGAGAAAAGTATTGATGGTACGTTTGATAATGAATGTCGTTCGGTGTGTTTTGTATCACAAATTTGTTTTTATATAATTAATTCACTTAAACAATTTTATGTAACCTTAAATCACTCAGGAATTGAGTTTAGACTATGGAATTTTTTGGCTTAAGTCATATGGAAAACCATCAGCATTAAACTCCCCAACCTAAATATTACAACAATGTTTGAAACTAAATTCCATTACTGTAGTTGAATCCACACGTTTGTTCTTCTATTCGAACTAAATGTTGATTTTATTCAATTTAATTATTATTCGTCATAGAATTTACTGAATTATGTT